TCAATAATAATAACATCAATAATAATAACATCAATAATGATAACATCAATAGTAATAACGTCAATAATAATAACATCAATAATAATATTGATAATAATAATAATAAATAACAAATAATGACAGTAATAGATGATAACAATAATAATATTACTAATAAGAATAAATAATGATGGCAATATGATATTATTTATTTTTCACTGCTCTTTTCCCGTTGATGTTGTTGGAAAGTATTTCAGATGATCAACTTTGACATCCTGAACGACAAATCAGTGAAAAGCTTAATGGCTATTAAAGATTATGAAATGTTATGTAAATTTTAGTTAAAAATTTAATTAGATATTTTTATGTTACAGAAAAGGAATCGATGATTCCATCATCCAGTGTAACGATGGCTTCAACAGCTTTGCAAAATTTATTAAAAATGGAACGATTGCTTCATAATCTGTTTGATTCCGCTGATTGTACTGATCAACATTTACTGCAACGGTATTTTTTCCCCATTTTTTTTAACATAACTGAAATTAGAATAGAATTAGGAATGGAAATTACGGATTGGAAATATTGCATGTCTGATTCTTTCTATTCAGAATAAATAATATTTTCAAAATTCTTGTTATGGAAAGCATTGTTATAACGTTAAAAATGAAAGTGTGAAGTGTTGAACAAAAAATGATTTATTGATTGATTATCTAATGTTTGAAATATTTTAAACATACAGTGCTTTTTTTAATCTTTCAGATTAACATTACGTGAACGCACTCAGCATTGTGTGGATCGATACACGGATGTATCATTTTTGATGGAACCATTGTCAACTGTTCTGATTGAAGAACCGTTTTTTAACGTTGAACAAAAAATTCCGCTAACTGATCTTGATCGTTTGCTTGAAGGCTTGTTTCTGCCTCATTTATTTAAAATTTTAAATGATGAAGTGTAATTTCTTAAATTTACCTTGTTTCCGATCAAAATAATCTAAATTTGGAAAAAATTAAATTCTCATGAAATAATGATGTATGAAATTTACTAGCCCCAGAAATAATCGTACCTTGGAAAAATTATACGGCATCGAGACGAAGTTGTACTGAAGTTTATTTATCATTATTGGAAGGCCTCACAGCTGTCACCTTTGTTTGTCCTTCATCATTGCAGTCAAGCTTATTGCGAACTATTGCTGACTTAATCATAGGGCAAATGGATACTAAATTCGGTATATTTACTTGCTATTACAAATATTTTACATCATAATTTAAAATTATCACATTTTCTTTTAATTTATCTTATTTTAAAAAACAGCGGTAAAAGAGAGAAAAAAAATAACATGATTGAAGTATTTAAAATTATTTTAATTACTGAACTATTTCAAATTATTGATGAATTTCGTAGGTATTAATTTTGGTGTATATAATTTATCAGTATTCGTTTTTCCAATGCTGCAACAATGGATGCGTAAAGATGCAGCAAAACATGAAAATAATTTAAAACAAGCAATTGGATTATTCACAGAAGTCGTCAAGCAATACTTAGTACAAACAAAAGGTATTGTAAAATATTTCAAAGCAATTCATCATTCATTATAAATTATAATTCATTTTTTTGTATTTCTTTTACATTTTTTAAAGAGTAATTTTAGATTTTTACAAGTTGATGCAAAAGTTTGAAAGAATTTTATTATATTCCGGAAATCCGAATACTTTTATTTTGTTTTGTAATTTGGAATGTTAAATATATTGTTTATTGTTCACGTAGTGAAAAATTCATTTTACAGATAATCCATGGGTTAATCGAACACTTTTTGATACGTTAATTTTGTTAACGGAATGTATTACGTGTGCACGAAATCGTATTGCACGTTTGGGTTACGCATGTTTGCGATTCCTGATCAGATCTTCCATTCATTCGTTAACAACTGAGCAATGGACAATTATCGTACGTTCATTGTGGAATGCAACGTAAGTTAAGCTAAAAAAAATGCAAGCTTTTCAATTTTCATTCAATTTATCTAAAGCCTATTTTTCACGCATCTATTTTGGGTCTTAATTTTAGAAATACAACTAATTATAGATTATATTTTTTATTTAATATAAAAAGGTTAACATTTTGATTTCATTTTTTGTTATTACACTTTTTTTTTCTTTTGAATGTCATAGAACAATAGATTTATAGAAGTTCATATTTCTATCTTACTTTAAAATTTTCAAAATTTCATGTTTCAGAAGTTTAACCCTAGCGCATCTACGACTTTTAATTCAGTATTATGTCGTTGATTCAAATGATCCAAACGGTGATCTTGGTAATGTTTGTATAGCAGCTGTTGAAAATTCAAAATTTTCATGCGAAACGCTATTATTAGCTCGACAGGTAAAATTAACTTTAGCTATCGATCTATTCAAAACGGTCTTATCTTTTCTGCATACTTAAACAAAAATCATTGTTATTGTTATTAATTATTCCAATGCAAGTCTGGCTCTTTTTAATTTTCCCCCGGAAATTAATAGTTGATTTTAATTTAATTATAGATCTTCTTAATGGATGAACAGATCTGTTCAGTGACAGAAGTGGAAGAAACGAGGAAACGTGAAGTGATACTTTGTAACAACGATGGAATCAAACAAAGGTTTACAAGCAAATTTTTGACCTTGATCAAGAATTTATCTTAAAATGTTGAAATTTTAGAATTCTTGGTGATGAACTAGTTAATATTCTTATCAGTCATCAATATATTTTGGAACTAATTGGTACCTTATTACTAAATGGGATCGATTTACCAGTAGATGGACAAACTGCTGCATTTTTGAAAAAATTTAATGAGCAAACTGAAAGTGACAACGAATGTTGGTTTCTATTCTTTTAATTGCGAAATGAGATATATGATAATTTAATCAATTTTAATACTAAACATTCAATTTGTTTTCTAACCAATATATTTAATCTTTCTTTTTTATTTCTTTTTGCTTCGAAAGAAAAATCAAAGATTAAAAAGTTTTTTCAGGTAATTTGCATAAACTGTCGCCGGAAGATATTATTATTCTGTTTTGTTGTTTAGATGGATCACTTTTAGTTGCAAGAAATTTTGATAAACGTTCAGGCTTAAAAATGCTTATCCAAGGGTTGTATGACTTCCCAGTACTTCCAAATTTATGCAAGCAAATAGTCTTAGCTTGGACGATACGTTCACTAGCAATGTATGAAATGGTACGGAAATGTCCATTGAAAAAGTTTGTATTTTTATTTACCACTTTTTTTTTCGCCTTGTTCAAAGTTGGTGATTTTTTTCCATTTAATTTTTATTTCACTTGTTAATTTTTTATAACTTAATTTTTTTTTAATTTATTAGAAATTTTATGTAATTTTTTAGAGAAGTAATCGTTGAATATTTATCATCATCAGATGGAAATGTAAAAGATGACAAATATTACATCAAACAGCTTCAATTATGTCATCGTGAAGTATGCATGTATTTATGTAACTTAGAGAAGAAACTATCTACGGAAGCATTACGTTATTTAGCGAGATCGCATATTACTCCGGTTAGTTAATGTATTATGAGAATAAAAAAAGAACATTTTCTTTTTTGAAAAGTTTAAGTTATTGATGAAATTAATTCATTAATATCTAAAAAGAGTTATAAGCCAATGTTTCTGAAAATGTGACAATATCATAAAATTAAAGAATCTATTTAGTCAATTAATTGATTCATTATTACTGGTTTCTATATATTCGTTATCTTGATTTTTTTTTTGGAAAATTTGTTGTCTCTTGATAAATTCGAAAGAAAACTCATAAGGAATATGAGTCTCAAATTTTTCACAGTTTTTGTCAAATTTCTTAATTTTTAATTTCTAATTTAAGAATTTATTTAATGAACCTCGGTAATATTACTAATCATTTCAGCAAATTACTCTCATTCGTAACGATGTATTGGATGAGAATTTGTACAAATTGGTATCCTCTGAGCAAACAACCGAAATTATTTCTGATTACAGACGTTCAAAGATTGCACAAACGTTGGTACCACCAACAAAATACGGCAATCCATTTAAAAGTGATAATGAACAACACCAAATCACCGCAGAGGAAAAACTCATTCTCTCTGTGAGTTATACTTAATAATTCAGACTAAAATTTTCCTAACATCTTATTAATTGAAATAAAAAAGACCACTCAAATACTACACAGTTTGAACATAAAATCAAGCATTAATGTTTAATACTAAGTAAATTGAAGTAAATCAAGCATTAAAAATGTATCCTATTTGTATCCTATAGTATTCTATAGTTATCTGTATCATCTTTTTACTCTCAAGGAATTAAAGCAAAAATCTTTCATAAAGTAAACTTCAGTTCAAAAGCATGAAGATCTCTTATTAAATTTTATTAACAAGCCAGCACACTACACTGTATTTGCTGTGCCATTTTGCTTTGTTCTTAATTGTTACTTACTTTTACAAACTGTAATAAATGTAATATTTTCACTGTTTCATTAACAATGAACATCTGTAGGATGGAGAAACACGATGCTGCGCATGGACTGAAATGTCTCTGGCAATCCTGGAAGCATGCTTGCGTGAGGAAAACGAACAACTTGAGAAACTTTTACCTATATTTTATGAAAATTCAGCAATACTCATTTCCGGTTCATGCAATATGCGGGTACGTGAATTTGCTGGACGACTCCTTCGTAAAATTTCCAATTTTCACCGTTTTTCATGATTTTTTATGTTCAAAAATCAAATTCTCAAGATAAAATCCTTTGCACGCATCGATTAAAGTTTCCAAAGCTGGTATCAATCTAGTATCACTTTTTATCTTGAATCTAGTAGATATAAATTGATTTGGTCAGGAATGATTTAGTCCCAAATTATTCTCATTGCCTCAATAGATTCCAAAATTTTATTTTTCTAAAATTAGACAGCAAAAGTACATGAAGAAGTTAATTAAATCATATAACATAATCACTTTTACATAGTACTTTAAAAAAGTAGGCCAAATCACTCGTCGCAGAACAAACATTTTAGAGTTTTTCGTCAACCACAGAATGAAGCTATCCTAGCATTTCACGCTTCCTTCCTCGCCTTTCGATTTCCTTAAGTTTCCTATTAACTACATCATACTGTTTCTTGTTGAACAGTTCATATCCTTTCATAATAGTATCGAAGATGAATTCCACTTCAGAATGTGTACTTAAGACAGCTCGTTCCAATACATACAAATCGACACCTTTACTTTCCACTGTTGCATTACCCTGTATAAAATTATTTGATTGTTTAAACTCAAAAGTTTTTGGGTTCTTTTAAAATTTTGTTGAATTCCCACAATACCCAACCAAATTCAACATTCGGCTCTTTTTTTTCAATTAAGAAATCTCGCTCTGACCTTGAAATATTGGAAAACACAACTATTCTACTTCTGGCTGAAAAATTAAATTTTGCCTAATTTTGTAACTTATGTTTACAATAAAGTGATGAAATGAATAATTTGATGGATATTTTGGATGTGTTAAAAGCACCACGGAATAATTTTACCTCAGCAAGACCAAAATCGATAAAAACAATTGTTTTGGGATTTCCATTTCGAAGAAGAACATTAGACGTTGTCAAATCACCATGCATGATACCACCATGATGTAGTTTTGCTATAATTTGACCTAATCGAATACCAAAATCAGTAATTGTTTCCTGAAATACGTCTCATTCATTAATAATCCTTATAATAACAGAATTATGATGTTTCAAATCAATCAGTTAAAAATATGTAAAACCAATCAGCTACATGAATTCGAAAAATTATGAAAATCGGAAAAAATTTCTTTTTAAATTTCATAAATGAAAGCAAATTTAGCATACCTCAAAGTCGCTGCTATTCTTAAAATCTTCAATAAATTGTCGAGCAGTGGTACCATTGGAGATCTCTTCCATAATAAAAGAATTTCGATCAATATTTACAAAGTATACTGTAGGTACATCAATCCCCATCTAAACAGAATCTACTTTTATTTAAGTACCAAAAAATAGCTCATTAATCCTGAATTGATTCAAAACACCTTAAATTTTTATTATACCCAATAAAAGGAAAGTTATTTGATAATGTTTCCAATAGGAAGATTCGTCAACTAACCGTTTTACACTTACGCAATGCATTTAATTCAGCTTTAATACGTTCCTTCGTCAAAATTAAATCCAGCGTTGGATGTCTGAAACAATATCAATTTCAAAATTCTAGCTTTCAATTCAACCAAAAATACCATCATATTTGGGAAATCAAAGTAAAGTTTTTCAGACTAAATTTAATTTCTTCAAAAAAACCCTCCTCAAACCAAAAATTTAACATGGAAATTGATGACTTCGTCAAATACGTGTTTCCTTTTTCCTTCATACCTGTAGATTTTAACGAATCGTTCTTTGATTACCGATTTTCGGCCAAAATAAGTACATCGAAATAAGCAAGCCTCAGCACCTTGCCTGAATGGTTCAGGATCCTTCGAAAGCCATGTTGAACCAACAGTTTCAGTTGCTTTATCCATCAAAAAAAACTTGGGATATAATTCAGGTTAACTTGAAAAATATTTTCCAAGTAGTTAAAAAATTATGCTATCGAAATACATATATAATCGAAAACCTTCAAAATGCGCGTAATGCTTTTATAAAATTATCGACCAATTTTCCGATTCAGGATATTATCGAGAATCACTGAAGTCATAATAAACGCTCAAAAAGAGCTACCGACAATTAAATCCTATTTGGACCTCCCTCATGGTCAAGTGATTTAGCAGAAACACAGGGAAGTACATAATATCCTTATGTACTACCAAACTGTCCATCCTGGCAGGAAGTCTTCGCTAATAAGGTGCAATTTTGATCTCTAATTACTGACTAAAGAAATTATCGTTACAAGGCTATTGACAGTCATCGATATCCAAGAATTGCAAATGCTATCTATAAATATCGGGACAGAGCTACTCGGAGAAAAAAGTTGGTACTAAACTGGAAGCTATACCGCCACTAAAATCCAATTTGACACAAAATGTATATCGAATATTCCCGAAATTTTATGACAACATAATTGCTGCAGTAATTGAAACATATTTACGATTTAATATCCCAATTGATAGATCAAGAAATTTTAATACTCTCCAAAGTAAATAATCAAAGATTCAAAGTGACAATGATAAAGGGATAAAAATCTTGAAGATAAATGATATTTTGTTTCATCACATAAAAATCATAACAACAACACGGCATTAATACAACCATCATTTTCAGGATGATTTGTTACTTGAGCATATTTTGCCCATACTACTTTACCACCTTGAGTAACCATACCGAGTTCCGATATATTCACCTGGAATTCATCATTTACAGGTAATTAGATAGTTTTCTATTAATAATAGAAAGGGAAATGCTTTCAAAATAAACTTTCATTCAAAATTTATTTCCGATTCTAGGATTAATTCCGATCTTAGGGCTTAAAATAAAGTTACTTTAACAAGCAAACAAGTGTTAACTAGCGATGACAAATACAAAAGAAACAAAACTTAAGTAAGCATTATATTAAAAAAATTTAATCAACTGGATTTGTTACTTGAGCATATTTTGTATTAATTCTCACTTCAATAATTAATTCTCACTTCAATAATCGTTCCTTTTGTAATAACTCCCAATGATGTATATAGTGAAGAAGATGGATTTTTCTTCACCCCAACGATAGGTAAATGAAACGTCGTTTGCAACTCGGGATGTGTTACATGAGCCTATAAAAAACTGCATTCATATTTAAGTACTGATGTTCCAGTATTCTTACAAAAAATAAGTTAGGGAAAGAATAAGGAAAAAGAAATGAAAATACTGGCATCAATATCATAATTTTTTTCTTCCACAACAGAAAATTATTTCAAAACTAGAGGTAACAAAATAAAACTTATGTTCAAATTCTGCACGGTACGATAAGTTTACCTTTTTAAATCGCAAACCCATTGGTCGAATGAATCGTTCAAATTTCGCCGGCTTTCTCGTAAATGATTCACCAACAAAGGTAACTTTTGTAATCATGCGTTTCCATCCTTTCCGACGAGTTTTACCAGTTTTCACTACTTTGAAAGCCTCCGCATCACTCACTGCCTTGACTGTTGGTATAGGTACTTGATATTTACCCTAGAAAACAATAAGTTTCTCAGATTTGCTTCGAAATAGTCGAATTTCAATCGATTTGCTAAAAAACTTTCTAAGGTTTCTGTAAACAACACAGAAATAAACTGTCTCCGCAGTAGTTCAACAGATGATGAAAGACTGCTATGGTAATATCTTCAGAAACTTCTGCAACTTTATGATTGTTGCTTTCAAACTCACAGTGAAATAACAGAAATGAAAAAAAAATCACTAAAAATATTTGCTTACCGCTTTTTCTTTTCGTTTCTGTTTGATCACTGATGACAGTACATTACCGGTTGTTTGTTGTTGTCTATCTAGCAGATATGCTGGAACTACACCTCTATCAGACTCCTCACTTGTTCCTGTTTGTTGTTTTTCTTCATGCTGTCGCAGCAACCGCCGCATCTCTACCTAAACCGATATTCGTCTAGCAAGCAAAAAATTTGAAATTTGGAGTATCAAAATCAGACTTCTCAGTAGTTTCTGAGATTAAGTTCAAATGACAACGATACACAAACAAACCTTTTCAGCGTAACGTTTTTTATGGTACAATTTAGCCTTACGACCACGGATTTTCTTCGCATACTGAGAACGTTCATGTCCAGCTCGGGCATTACGTTTTCTCCTGCAATGAGCACAAATACAATAATGTGATCATAATTTCGTGTCTACATAATAAGGATAACAATTCATAAAGTCATAAGTGTTTCCGCTAACGATTTACAAATATTTTTAGATATGCAAAAGGATATTTACGTCAAAGAACACGGATAAAATCACTGCAGTGAATGTAAGGATGTAGTCTTCCTCTTTTAG